TCTAGAAATTACTCAGAATGAAACCTAATCAGTGGGAGACTAAATCTGGAAAGATCTCAAATTGTGAAAAGGAATAGTCACAATTAGAGGGGCATGCATTCTACACCAGTGCTCATACACGCTAATTGTATAGTCTTATGATCCAGAACCTTTTAGTTTTAGGGATCAATAAATATTATGGCATAGCCTTTCCCTATTGCATTACTTTCTTATTAGGTAAAAATAAGAATAGCTATTTTTTAAAACTTATATGTATTTATTTATGTGTATTCAGTTGGGGGTGGGGAGCATCAGTGCCACAGTACAATGTTGTGAAGGTTGGAGGAAAACCCCCAAGAGTCTGTTCTCCTTCCCCCTATGAGTTCTGGGTTCTACGTCAGACTGTTAAACTTGATGGTAAGCATCTTTACCACCTGAGTCATGTTGCTGGCCCAAAGTCACCATGGAGGCCATCTGTGTGTGTGTGTGTATGTGGGGAAATAGACATCCTAAGCATTACAATGGGATGAGACAAATGGGTGCTGCTGCTCTCTCTATAATGTCCTGTTGTGTTGAGCAGTCAGTGTTGCGTATCCTCAAGGTGGTTTACTTTTCATCCTGCTTGTTGGATCTTGTTCTTTTCACCCATAGCCCCAACCCTATGAAAGCCAGAAGCTGGCCTGGTGTCCCATGTCTCTGGGATGCACAGACTTAACTAAACCTTGGCTGTTTTCAACAACTCTCATGAGAGACGGCTGCCAACCTCACTGCTGGTGGAAGCCTGGTATTCAGACACTGGACGTTTTTGGCTCACTTTAGACCCTTGACATACACCCCAAGGTTTTAGTTTCCCTGCAAGGACATGGGGCAGCTGTGATAGGTGAGGTAGATACTGTCTTCCATTATCTTGGACTATAAACTCTGGCTTCCTCTCCACTTACCTAGTCCAAGTGGCCTGTGTTGCTGTCCTCTGGGCAGAACAATTTTCATGTTTCTCTTTCGTTCTCCCTGCTTCCTATATTCCCCAGGAATATCTTTCACTCTTTCCATTTTAATTTAAAGAAATGTCTCTTATGTGACTTTCACATTACTTAATTTGAAAAATAGTCATAAGATTAATCTTCCTTCCCTTTATTTACACTGCAGTGGCACAAGTACTCTTGCATGAAACACTGAACAAAACATTTCTAATTTGAGGATTTATTCATTAAACTTGAAAAAATATATCACAGAAGAGAAATATTTGGCCATACTTTTCTCACTTTCTAGACCTGCAGATGTTAGAAATTAGTATGCTTCTAAGTGGCTTTCATGAACGCTGAAAGGGTCCTTGACTACTGAGCCTTGTGCTTAGACAGCCTGAATTACCATGCAACTGAGTTTTTCATGTAATTGTTTCTTTGCTTAATTTTCTAAGGAAACACTCATCCAAACAGGACAGCCCTACCTTAAGTTCCAACATGCGTTGAGTTTTACAGCATTTAAGATTTTCCTAACTGCCCAACTCTTTTTTTCTTTCCTTTTCTTTTTTTGGTTTAAAACGGGCTCTTTTGGCTGATTCAATAAGCAGTTCCTGCCAACCAGTTGCTTTTATGGTAATTGACAGCATAGCTGATTTTAGAGTCTTAGAATCTAAAAGGGCATTTTAGCTTAGACTTTAGGGAAGCTGAGCCAAGCTACTTGCAGAATGAGGTACCGCTGAGCAAAGGCTGTCGGTCAGGGCCTGATCTGTGTGCGTGCTCATATGCTCCACCCAGGAGCCTGTAGCATATCTGTAGCCTGGGCCTCTGCTTCTTCTGACTTTCAGCACTATGCATTCTGCACCTTTACTTCTCCTGCCTGGAACCCCTGGCACTCCTACCAGAAGGGAGTCCGAAAGATCAACTGTCATGTGTGAGCAAAAGTGACCTGAGCATCATGACTGCTGGTGATGGGGGACAACGTCCCCGAGGTTCCTGAAATGCTGAGCATGGACTGAAAGGACAACTAGTTCAAATGGAAAAGGGAAAGCAAGTATTTGCTTTGAAGGGAAAAAAAATGCAGGAAGGAAGTCACAGCATTTCATAGCACCATCCAGGGTTAGCTGGGGATTATAGTCCTCAGATGGTGTCAGTCTCTAAAATAGCTGGGATGTCCCCAAATCCCAGCTCAGCACAAAAAAATAGAAGTCCCCAAACTAGCAGATCTTTAGAGTTCTCGCTTTCCAGAAAATATACAAATGTTTCCAAGAAGGAGGTTGTTTGTGAATTTCCTTCTGTTGTTCATCTGCGAACTCGACTCCTCAGGGGTGGGTCTTGATCAAAAAAGCCTTTTCACACTAGGAAGCCCCAGGAATATCCACACAAAAGCATCTATGCTTTAAACTTAAGCGACCCTAGATGCAGAGAAGCTTCCAAGTGTTGACAGTCAGCTTTTGCAACTGGTCTGAAATCCCCAAGAGTTCACTTTAGGACAGTTTTAGCCTTGATAGAAATGCAAGCTGTCTCCCAGCTGTACCATTGTATGCAGCTCTGTCTTCAGACCCAGGCCTACCTTAGGACACCGAGTATACCCACATGCCTTAAAGAAAGTGTGAAGTTCACGCTTGAGACTCGTGCATAGAATAGCATTGTGAGGTCTCTTAAAAAAAGGGGGGGGCTAGTGAAATGGCTTATTGGATAAAAGCATTTGCCATGCAAGCCAAAGGACATAAGTTCAAATCTTCAGGACTCATGTAAAAGCTAGGCACTTATAGGAGCATCTGTAAAACCAGTGCTTCCCTGGGGAGATAGGAGATAGAGACAGAAGAAACCTTGGAAACTGGAGGAACCAGCTAGTCAGCTATACAGGACAGCAAACAAGCGATTCTGCTTTGAACAAGGCAGAACCAGCAACTGAAGTTACCCTGTGATCGCTCCCTGTGCTCTATGCACCATGAACACACACATTCACACCTACAAATGTGCACATGTGTACAGACTCATTGTACACACATGCATACACACATGAGAGAGAGAGAGAGAGAGAGAGAGAGAGAGAGAGAGAGAGAGAGCTGAGAAACTAATAACTAATTAGAATGTCCAAACAAGGATTTGAGTGTGAGTTTTACACATAGGAGATATTTTTAGAGGCACCGAAGTGTAAAACACATTCATTTCCAAGTAAGTAGAATTTCATAATTTCACAGTCTGCTGCTGGAATCTCCATTCCCCATGGCATGACTAAGGAGCAGCCACAGTGGGTGCCAGCAACATCTAGCCACTTTGGGGCTGCAGAACGTTAAGCTTCCTCCTTATCTGGAGGAACCCCGTGTCCCTCTACAGGCAGGCGACATCATTTCAGGATTCTGCATCACACTACATGTCTGTCAGCTGCAAGCTTTCTGCTTTTCTGCAGTCACCAAGCTCCACTGTTCCGGTCCCTTCACCCGTGGGAACTGGTTCAGCTGTGAACCTGAGCATCAGAATGTGGTCTTTTCTTATTTCTCCGATGTTTGTAAGTTCATGAAACTTACTCTGCTTTTGACAAATCTTTCCATTGACTAAACATCCCATAACCAATTGCTTCACTTTTGGCAACAGTTGTGGGAAAAATTGAGCAAAAACCAAACGATTAATTTTCTCTTTCTCTCTGTCTCTCTTCTCTCCCCTCTCCCAGTCCTCAGCTCTCTCCCCTCTCACTGTAAAATGCCCAATGTTGCCAATTTTCCTGCCCAGAGGCCTTGACTTATTCTCTGCTCTGATTCATCTTGAACCGTCATTAGTGAGTGAAAGCAGATACCAGAAGAGCTTTGTTGTCACCAGATAGATATACAACCCGGCACAAAGTCACTAAAGCTGAAGAGTTTAGAATGGAGACCCCCAAGAGGGCTCAGTGGCTGAAAGCACCTGCCACCTTACCTCACAAGATGGCTTTGATCCTGGGACTCACATGGTGGAAGGAAAGGACAGATTCCTGTCCTCTGATCTGTGCCTATGATGTGGCTGACACATACTCTCACCCACATTAATATATAAATGTGATTTTTATAAAAAAATTAAAACAACAACCAAAGAGGCTTGACTCATAGAAAGTTTCTATAAATCAAGATTATTGAGTTCTGCAGGCTAAAAAAATATTGCTGTTTTATTTCATGTACATGAGTGACTTTCTAACCCCAAATTATCCAACAAGGTAGGGTGAGGCTCTTAGCTGTCCAGGCCAACCCAGCAGGGTCAGAAGATCCCAGACTGACTGTCCTCCAGACCCAAGCGTTCTCCCCAAGCCCTGTGAAATGCTGCTCACTTGCTGACTATCCAGGTTTGTCAGTCTCACCCCTCAAGCTTGAAATGCAAAATGCAGGAAATTAAGGTTAGGGAAGCCTCAACAGCTTCTTTAGTAGAAGAAAATATATCTGCCTTATGTAGTGGGGTAATGTGTGGTAGTTACTAATAGGCGAAAACTGAGCAAGGCCATCGAGCGGCCCACTGTGGTCAGTGCTCCTCTCTGTACAGCCCTTCCCCACGGCAACTCAGCCTCCTGCAGCAAATTAACCTTTCTTGCCTTGATAACTACTGGAATCTGTTTTTTAAAAAAAAGAAAGAAAGAAAGAAAGAAAACTAATTTTCAGCCATCTTTCTGACTAAATTTTATTCTTGGCAATTAATGAACCAATCCTAAGATTAAACAGAACTGGTGGGATGACTCAGTGTTCAAGAACAGTTTTTGTTCTTCCAGAGTACCTGCATTTGGTTCCCAGGACCCACTACTGGTGACCCACAACCGCCTGCAACTCCAGCTCGGGGGCGGGGACGGGGGAGGGTGTGGAGATCTGATACCCTCTTCTGGCCTCCAAGGGCAACTGCACACGTCTCTGTCTGTCTGTCTGTCTGTCTGTCTGTCTGTCTGTCTGTCTCTCTCTCTCTCTCTCTCTCTCTCTCTGTCTCTCTCTCACACACACACATACACACACACAAGCAAGAGAGCTAAAGATACAATAAATCTTTTTTAAGAAGTCCCAGAGACAAGTAACTGAACTTCTGAATGTGTGCTTCTCTTTATAGACACTCTGGACAATGGCTCGAATAAAGGTGGCAGGTGAGCAAAACAAGTTTCCTTGGCCATTGGTGCTTTGCTGTGATGCTGTCTCCAGTGCACACTGCAGTGGGTTTGATCCTTTCTCTTCTCTTTTGCACACATGCAGTGCAGCTAACAGAAGGGGCCCGAGCAAGGATGACACGTACTGGAAAGAGATCAATGCAGCTATGGCCCTAACAAACCTCGCCCAGGGAAAAGACGAAGTACCAGGGACCACGAGCTGCATCATCCAGAAGTCTTCCCACATCGCAGAAGTAAAGACAGTCAAGCTGCCTCTGGCACAGCGCTTCTAGTGTGGCCAGGGGTGCTGCTGAGCATGTCAGTGTTTTCTTTGTTTTTTTACCTAAAATCCTCATCTTAAGAGCCAAAGCAGGTGTGAAGAGGACTCCCAGCCAAACCTCCTAAGTTCAGCTATCCTAAATATACCAGTTGCTTCTATAAAAAGACACATAAATTATAAAAAATCATTTTAATCAAAAATATTAACTTATTTTATGTTACTGAAACTATGCATCTGCGTTAGCATTACAGTAAGTGCCTTGCTTCCCTGAGATAAGCTCCAACGTGGGCACAGTGAAGAGCTGAGCCTCAAACAGCCGACGTCGACACTTGCTAGACCACATCATTCCAAACTGGTGCAGGACCGAAGCCAGAATCGCTGAAAGCCCTTGAAATAAATCCAGTTACTCACACATTGAAACTTGGAAATCTGTTCAACCCAGGTGAAGTGTTTTTTTCTTTTCTTTTTTTTTCCTTCTCCCAGGAATGCTGATAGGGCTAGAAATTGTTCTTTGTACTTTCCAGGGTGACAGTGAGAACTTTATGTGTGGGTTTTGTTAGTGTATCTGATCCATGAACAGCTTCCAAAATAAAAGGTGCAGCCAGCTCACTTGATGTGAATGACTCACATGATGTATATGTTTAAGAAGAGACACTTTCAAACTAGTAATTACGGTATGCTGTAACCAGAAATTATTTTCCCGATCACTGTGGAAAGCATTCCAATGCCCTTTAAAATTAATTTAATTTTGCAAAGAGCCTTATTATATAAATCGCTGAATTTTGTTCCTGTGCAAAACTAAACCTATAGTTTAGTTTTAAGACATGATCTTGCTTGCATTGGTCAGTGTTCCTTTGTAATGGAAACTGGCTTTCATATGGAGTAACTAAGCTTTTCATTTGGTTCATTTCAAGTCACGATTCTAATGGACAATTTGTATTGCAACGAGAACAAGAAAATGAAGGAAAATATCTGTATGTGGATATACATATATGCAGAAAATTGATTTTTTAGAATTTAAAACATATGGGAAATAAAACAGGAACAGTCTCTGGTTTGTGCCAAGTAGGACATTCAAGTAAAATGTAAATGAAATTTTGCATTAAAAGAAAGAACATTTTGTTTCTAACTGACACTACCACTGAGTGGAAACAATCACTATCAAAGAAAAAGAGCATCCTTGCCTTTAAACATCCTAACCAGCTTGGGAACGCTCGAAACCTACAGAAATTTGGAGACGCCAAACAAAGCAAAGCAAATGTTGAACAAAGTGAAAAGACGCCTATTTTAGAGTGGGACTTTTTTTTCTGGGTATGTAATCTACTTCTTAAAATTTTTTTGACTGGAAAGCACTTTTGCCAAGTGTGAATGACATTCAGTAACATGGCACGTGCTGATTTTTTCTTTATTTTACAAAAAGCTTTTAAAAGTCAAAGGCCGCTCTTCGCTGCGGGGTGGGCACGATGGCCATGATGGCCGCTGTGAGACACTTTTTCTTGTGTCATAGCCTTGTGGGGTGGGGTGTCTAGTGTAATGAAGATAATTTGATATGAAAATATTTTATATGTCTATTATTCCTGTTTTCTTAAGCGCAGTTTGCAGTAGCAGGAAGCCCAAGGTGAGGTGTGTATGTGATGACCGTATGAGTGAAGTATTGTATGATGAAGTACTGGCTTCTGCTACTGCGTCCTCAGTACTCTGAGACCCAGGATGCAAAGTGGAAGTCACCACAACGCCTCTGCCCAGACGTGAGTGTGGCAGTGAAAGACAAGGACAAATACTTCACTCTTTTTCATACTATTATAAGTTATTCTGGTATTAAATATTTTAATAAAAGTGTTCTTGTTTTACTATGTTGCAATTATAAAAACGAATGCTGGTTGTATTTTATTTGAAATTGTCATGTTTTATTTTTTCCATCTTTTGGGGAAAAATCAGTGAATTTGATCTGTATTATGAACACAAACCAATGACAGGACACATGACTTCTTTCAAGTGCCAAAGCTTGGAGTCCAGCCTGTACACACTTTAAAAAAAAACATATTATTAGCATATCCCCAGCAATGTCTCCAATTACAGTTACTTTTAATTTATTATTTTTCTTTCATTGCTGTTGTCTGAATTGTCTGGAACTCAGAGACCCCTTCACCCCTTAAAAGCACCTTAAACAACACTGAGCCAGCAGCCAAAAGGCTAACACGTAATTTATATTGAAGAGAGAGACTCGCCTTCTCTTTATTTTACAATTGTATTTTAATAAAATTACTAACTGTCGGGAGTTCTTGACAGATTTAAAATAAAAGTTCATTTCTAGACTTTAGTGATCATATGGGTTTTGTTTGCCTTTGAAAGCTGGCCAGTGGGAGGAAGCATAGGCAGGAGCGGCTCGCGTGTGGGTCATGGAATGGGGAGTGCTATGGTTGGATCAAGTTTGAATTCTATCACTTGAGGCCACCAACCCACCTGTTAAGACCCAAGGACAAGAGCACAACACAGACTGCTCAAATACTGAATTGTACTGTATTCTTTCTTTCCATAGATAATACAATAGCATTCTTTTTCTGTATTTGTTCATTAGTGGATTTTAAATACCTCATAAAAAATCTTATTAGCATATAATACAATGGGCTTCATCATGGCATTTTCATACTTACATGTTCAATACATGTTCAACAGCACCTCCATTCATTACTTATGTGTTCTATACAGGAAGGAAGCTTAGCTTGGAAGCCAGACAGATCTGCATTGCCATGCTAGCTCTGCCCCCTCCACACACACACAACTGCAAATTTCAGACTCAATCTTCAGAGTTCTTATATGCAAAGTATGAGGAAGAAGATAGCCCTTGTAGACTTTGTGAAAAAAGTTGAAAGAATGGATGATACATAGAATACAGGAACCAGCAAGATATCTCAATGGGTAAAGACTTTGCTACCAAGTCTAACAAGATTTTGCTCTCCAGAACCCATATAGTAGAAGGATAAAATTTACTCCTGTAAGTTGTCCTTTGATCTCCACAGTCATGAAGTGAAATAAACAAATATGAATTATTAAAATGCCTACTATAGCAGCTGGTAAATCAATGCTCAGTAAGTTGAAAACACTATCACATAATTTGTCCATGTGAAGTTTTGTGTAGAGGATCAAAGCGTACGTGGAATAGGAGATACAAATACCTTGACAGAAATCTCGAAGCGTGGAAAATTTCTGACTTGAAAGACGGCAGTGGTGACGTTGGTACCAGTGTTAGATGTACTCACTTTGAACTGCTGCACCAAGGCGTGAAACCAAAGACAAGTGCACTTACTGGTGTCTTTCATTGGGGTGACAAGGATTGCTTTTTCTTTTGTCCCTCTCCACACTGCTCAGGATGACCAAACTCAACCTCATGCCTGTGTTCCCTACATGCTCTAAATAACAGTGTTTAACACGCAACGCCACTGGCCACAATCCTCTTTTTAAATTCATCCAGCTCAATGATAGCAAACAGAGACTAATAACAGAGAATAGGAATGAGCCAAAGCAGACTCCCTTGGGGGCTAGGAAGTGTCCTGGAAGGCAGCATCGTGGGGCAGGGGTGGGGCTACAGGAACTAGCAACTGGGAAAGAAGTATCACCCACCAAGGCCAGCATTCCATCAGGGAAATCAAGTCTGTGCAGTTCACTGAGACAGTGGGTGAAATGCTTTGCAAGCTCACAAGTGTGTGTAAAGTGTGTGCCACAGGACCCCATGGTCAAGAGAACCATCCTTCCTGACAATGGAGGCCATGGTTTCCATGGAGCGTACAGAGTCCCTTGTTTTACTAGACACATAATGTACCACCATTCGGGTCCTTAAGAAACAAAGAGTTTCTTGGCTTGGACTTCTTTTTGACAAAAGAACCAGAGTATGACAGATGCTTGCCATCCCATAAGGATCCTATAGTAACAAAACCTGTCTGGGTTTGGGGAAAAAAACAAAATGATAGCAAAGTCCTATATTTTCTAAGGTGAAAAGATTGTCAGGATTCGGGGAAAACAATGTGTTCTCACATTGTATAGGAACCCATCGCATGCAAAGAGTGTAGGGCTTAGAAAACAAATAATAGTCCAGTTTCTGCATATTTGGCCTGTAACACATCAAATATAGTTGTTTGGTTTTGGCTTTAATCTAATTGATATACAATAGCTCATCAGTAGAGTGTGATATTTATCTACTGATATGTTGTACAATAATCAAGTCAGGGCAACTAGCATATCCCTCTGAAATTTCATTTCTTTGTGGCAAACACTCCCAGTCCTCTCCTCTAGATATTTTAAAGTATTTAAGCATTTTGAAGTTTACAATAAGGATATTATTACCAACTATGGGGATCCCTAGAGCACATCCTTGTTGTATATTCTGTCTTTGAACCCTACCTCTATTATCTCTCTGCTTCCTCCACACCTTCAATGCTAAAATAATAATCATGAAACAATGTAGTTGGGTTTTTTTTTTATTCTTAGGAGGCCTGCCTCCTAGCTCCCAAATAAATACACAGAAACTTATTCTTACTTATGAACGCCCAGGCTTAGCTTGGCTTGTTTCTAGCCAGCTTTTCTAAGTTAAATAATCTCTTTAACTATGTTTTCCCTCTGGGCTTTTTTTAACCTTTCTTTATTCTATATATCTTTCTTTCCTTCTTACTCTGTGGCTGGCTGGCTGCCTGCCCTGGTGTGGGATGTCCTTCTGTATATATGTTGCTTTTTTTGGTTAATGAATAAAGCTGTTTTGGCCAGTGGCTTAGCAGAATAAAACTAGACAGTAAGTCCAAACAAAGATATATAGAGAGAGAGTAGGTAGAATCTGAGAGACATCATGTAGCCACTCAAGAAGCAAGATATGAGGTAACAAGTCACAAGCCTCAAGGTAAAATAATATACTAACAGTAATGGGTTAATTTAGAGAAATGGCTAGCCATTAAGAGCCTATGCCATCAGCCAGACAATTGCAACTGGTATTAAGCCTCTGAGTAGTTATTTGGAAACAGGCAGGCAGAGAGAAACAGATCCAGGAACACAGAAAGACAGAAAACCTTCCATCTACACTGCCCCCGTGTCCTCTTCTCCTTTTCTCTCTTTGATCTTCTTGAGCCCAGATTTCTTCTCCTATTTATTCTTTGCCCACCAGCCCCACCTCTTCTGCTTCACCATTGGCCATTCAGTCCTTTATCAGACCAATCAGGTGTTTTAGGCAGCCAAAGTAACACAGTTCTACAGAGTTAAACAAATGCAGCACAAAAGAATGCAACACTTGTTTGCATCATTAAACAAATGTTCTACAGCATAAACAAATGTAACGCCTTAAACAAATATTTCACAATGAAACAAACATGGGAACACATATATCTTCAATGCACCAATTTCATTTCACTTAGATGTGTATCCAGAGGTCATACTTACATAATATTGGATAGCTATTCTGAAGTATATACTATTTGTTTTAATCTATTTTGTTTGAGGAGATTCCATCCTAATTTGTATAACTATCCTAATTTACCTTCCAACAATATGGATGGGTCCTTTTCTTTCACACGCTTGCCAGCTCTTGCTATGTTCTGTTTTCTACAATAGCAATCTCTACTGGATTGAGGTGATGTCTCCCAGGGTATCCCCTAGTAATTAATGTCAAACACTTTTTTTTTCATTATGATGTGTTCTCTTGAGAAATGTCTATGTTGCTAAAATTCCTTCCCTGGGAAGATTTGAACTTCTACTTTCTCCTCCTAAGATCCTCACAATAAACCAAAGTCCAGATCTACCTCCACTCACCCTGGGAGCCAATGGTGTTATCGAGCTTTCTTACAGAAAGTAGGTGAGGGGTTACTGACCAGAGCATGGATGATCCCAAAGCTGCACTAGAAGGTCTTCACCCAGCATGGATAATAGCCTCTCCATACCTCATAGATGGAGCCCATTTTCTCTTATTCTTACCTAGTCTTTTACTCTAATCTCTCACCCCTACCCAGTGATCATGTCCAAATAGGGAACAAGTTCATCAAAATGTGTTAGGGGGAGTGACTTGATATGGATGTGAGCACCTAGTGATCCTCCTAGTCCCCTCCTTCTAGAAACAAACATCCACAGTTTGTATTTTCCTTTCACGGAGTGGAGTTCCTGTATCCTGTACCTCCTATATATTAATATCTGGTCAGGGGCAGTTTGCATGAATCTCCAAATCTGTAGATCATCTCTTCCTTCTATTGATCAGTTGACATGGGGCTGACTTTTTAGCTTGATGTAATCTCATACTTTCTTTACTGTTTTTTTTAAAGCCTGATTTTGGGGATTGCTGTCTGAAAAACACCTTTACCTAGTCCAGTGTCTTGAAGTGATTTTTCTACTAGCTCCATGGTTTGAGGTCTTATGCTCAATTTTTAAAAACTACTTTTAGTTGGTTTTTACATATTGTCAGAGATTCAATGATTGGTTTGTTGACTTTGAATAAAAGCTTAAAATTTAGTGCTTTACAAAATTGTAGGTATAACTTTGTATTAGTTGTAGAGATAATTATATAGTTTCAGGGGATAGAAAGCTCCACACCTCATTGAGAATAAGGAGTTCACACCAAAAGATAAATCAATAATACACTGTTTTCTCTATCAAAAAAAAAACATTCCTATGGCAAAAAAGTTAGGAAAACTCAGTGCCCTTAAGGTGTCTTGTTCACACTGAATGAGGCTGTCATAACACTGTCATGTGGACAGCCTTGTGTTTCTGCATCTCCAAGTAATTAGTGCCTTTGGATTAGATACTCAGATGGTGAGTAATGGGCCAGGATAGGGGCTTTGAGTTTCTTGAGAAGTTATTTCAAATTATCATTTTAAAATTCTGCCAGTTTGAAATTTGTATTTCCAGTGATTAGGTATTTCTGATGGCTTCTATATGACCAGAACATTGCAGGGAATAGACTTTCCCAGACTTAACAGGCAGTGGGTCATCGTCTTGTCTTCCCTTGTATTTTTGAAGATGGGTGACCCTAAATAAGGTTATTGGCATTTATTTTCTGTGGACCATTTGCTCACGGTTTCTCTTTTTTTGCATATTTATAGGTATAGATATATAGTAAGTACCTTGTCTAAAATGAGATGGGAGTGTTTTTCTGTTGTTTTAAGTTTTAAACTTTGAATAGCACCCACATACACATCTAGTGTGTTTGGAGGTTCTAGCAGAGAAGTGCGGCTACTTGTATACCCTTGACT